AAAATTAAATAATTGTTTTGGATTATCTGCTAGCTCTCTAAGATTGCTTGAAAATTACCTCAGTAATCGTTGGCAGAAAGTAGTTATTATAAGCAACTGCTCTGAGATGAAGCGCTATCATTCGGGGGTGCCTCAGGGATCTATACTTGGTCCAATTTTATTCAGTATGTTTATTAACGATATAACTTATTTTTGTAAGACTGTTTCGATACATTTTTATGCAGACGATGCACAAGTATATTTTTCTCGTCCGATTGGCCTATCTGAGGATTTGGTGTTTAGAGTAAACGAAGACCTCGAACGCATCTCTTCGTGGGCGAAAAATAATAACTTAAATCTAAATGCCTCTAAGACAAAAGCCATTTGTATTACGTACTCCTCGCAACTTGTAAAGAATTTACCATCTTTGACCGTACAGGGAATTACTATCAAATACGAGTCCGTTGTTACTAGCTTAGGGTTTAAATTAAATTCATACCTTGGATGTAAAGACCATATTAACTATATTCTAAGCAAAATCTACTTTATTTTATTATGGTACACAGCCGACTTGATTCCTTTAAATGTGAAACTGAAATTGGTGAGAACTCTCATAGTTCCATTGATATCGTTTGGTGGGCTCTTGTATGGAAATATGGATTGTGAATCACAGAAAAAGCTGCAACTTGCTCTGAACAATTGTGCACGATATATCTTTTCGAAGCGAAAATTTGAGCACATATCGGAGTTTTCTTTTAAGATAATGGGCTGCAGTCTTACTAATTTCCTTAATTATCGCAACCAGAATACCTCTTTAAAAATTTATGTTTCGCGAAGTCAGACATGACTTGCAACCTCATTGTTCCACGCTAAAAATATCTCTCGTCATCTAGAACGTTCTTTGTTCTCATTACCGAATGTCGTTAAAAATGAACGCAATACAGCGCGCTTTAAATTGGCCTTAATGGAGTTTTTTGCAATAGAAAACACACTTCTCTAACTCTGTTTACTTTAACTAAATACTTATGCATGTATATGCTCTCCTACTTTATTTCTCACTAAATTAAATATAAGATATAAATGATAATAATAGTAGTAACTAATGTATTTACTTATAATGAAATATTGAATTATACAAAGATAAATTTCCAAATGTCGATGTACTTTAAGGGACAATAGTCTTACTTGAGCAAAATAAACTAAATTGAATTGAATTGAAGCATAGGTAAATTTAAAACTAATGCTAATTACCAGGGAACGGATTTTTAGGACCTAAAAACCTGTAAAAAAAGGCAAAATAAAATAACGAAATAGGCTGGGAAAGGCAAAATAAAATAGCGAAAAAGGCAGGAAAAGGCACTAGGTATTGCAAAAAAAGCAAAATAAGGCACTAAAAAAAGACAGAAAATACGAAGAACAATCAAAAAATACATTTATTTTAGAAATGTAAAAGAAGAAAAACTATGAACTAGTTTCATTATATGAAAAATTTTTACTTTGAATTTTTGACTATTTTATCCTTTCGAGTTTCTAACTCATAAAACTTTAATCTGTATAGTTGTAGTAACATTGAACCACATGATGTATTTTGAAGTTTTCTGGCAGCATTTTCATTCGATTTTCGCGAAGAAAAGCCTTGAATGTACTAAATGTGCGCTCGACGTAAGCTGATACAAGTGGAGCCCAATTTAAATATGGAACGTTTGAAACGTTCATATTATCAGGAATAAGGGCGTTTCCTCGCCCTTTATAATTTTATCCACACCCCTAAAGCATTCTTTAAATAGCACTATTTTTACTTAGTAATGTTTTTACTTGGGAATTAAAGCCAAATTTAGAGGATGAGAGGTCGAGGTCCAAAGAAACAAAGAGCTTATTCAAATCCACGAGAGTTCTATTAACCGGGGCATTAAGGCTATATACAGTATTGCTGGTGACAACATAAAACACCTCATAATGATGCAACATTCTACAAGGAACACTGAAATTAATTTTACCTAACAGTACTGGACAATCAACAGTGTTGTGCAGTGTCATTAGGTTGATCAACTGACAGCTAGAGCTATACTCAGGCCTAGGTTCAGAGAAGTGCAGAGAGCGTAGGGTAAACCGGATAAACGCTTTCTGTACAGATTCTAATCGATTTATATGTTTTTAGTGGTAAGACCTCCAAACGAAAACGGCATACTCTAATATCGAACGGACAAAGGACGAATACAATAGTTTCAAAGTGTACGGATCTGACAACGAAGAACTATTGCGCCGTAGAAAGGCGAGCATCGAGTAATATTTAGAGACAACATAATTAACATGTGTAACAAAACTAAATTTTGCATCAAAATATGCCCCCAGGTATTTGACCTCATTCACCGAGTCTAAATTTGTTGACTAAATACGATAGGTGTTACGGATAGGATTATGAAGCTTAGAAAACGTCATTTGGTGGCATTTCTTAATGTTAGGAGGCAATTTGTTTTTAGTGCACCAAAGGTACAACATATCGAGCTCAGCTTGCAGATTACTTTAGTCTCGAGCATTTTTTATAACCGAGTAGATTTTTAATTCATCCGCATACATTTGGGATTTAGCTGTAGAAAAGCACGATTCTATGTCATTCACAAATATAATGAAAAGCAGCGGACCCAGTATACAACCTGGGGATACCAGAGGTTGAAACAAATGCGTTAGAAGAAATGTCATCAATAACGACATAGCTTTGTCTCCATCGCAGAAACACAGAGTGAAAGCCCAGCTTGAAAAGATTGATAAGCAGAATTTTATGTGAGATTCTGTCAAAGGCTTTAGAAAAATCGCTATAGATTGAATCAACCTGACAGCCCATTTGAAAGGCAGCAAAACAATCATCCGAGAATACCGCTAGATTGGTTAAAGTCGATCTTCCCGTTTCAAAACCATGCTGATTGATAGAAATTAACTGCCTGAGGTTTGAAAAAATTTTGTCTTTTATGATGCACTCAAGTAACTTAGGTACTGTGGATAATTTTGAAATAGCCAAACAGCCAAAGTTAAAAGATGACTCAGAGGCACAAACATTCGCGGTGTCCGGGTCGACGATATAATCATCATCTAATACGAAATTCGACGCAAAGAAATCAGCAAAAAGATTTGCAGCTTCGGAAATTGAGCTAGCCTTTTTATCATTGTAAAAAACCGACGTGGGAATATTAGAAACACATTTTTTTGACTTTTCAAAGCGTCAAAAATTTTTCGGGTTTACTTTAATATTATTTTCAAAATTTTGCACATAAGTCTTATATCTCTCGAGAACCATGTGAGTTTATAAGGATGCTTTGAAATAATAGGAACATGTTGTTTACGTAATTTAAGAACAGTATTTGTAAATACTCTAAAACAGTCGGCAACATCACCAACCCCTATGATAATGTCCCAATTTATTTCAGATAAGAGATAATTTAAAGTCTGCAAATTACAACGATTATAGTTAAAAGACATCTTAGGATTCTCCATAGGAATTTCAAAAAACTCTATAGACTCAACTGCTAATATAAGTGGAGAGTGATGTAAGTTAGGCGCGGAAACAGCTGACGGCGGGGGATATAACTTAAACTTAATATCATGACTTATAAGTATTATGGAAAATATTAACTTCAACTAGCTCAATACCCAAGAAATTATCAACTAAATATGTTTTTGACGAATTACTCACATTAGTGGGACTTATAAATAAATAAAACGGCCCAACTTAAATTATTTAGATTGTAGTCTCCTAACACACAAAGCGTATGCTATCCAGTCTCGTTGTGAAGCGCTAGTATATTGTCTACGTGAGCCTTGTAGGTGGATTCATCACTGCATGGCAGTATGTAGGACACACAGTTGTGAGTTAGACCGAAATTACTGTGAAGGCGCACACAAAGTTGATCAAACAGAGAGTTATCATCCTTTAGCGGGACGGAAAAAGCTAGTAGATTACATCGCGTAGTTATAAGTACACCGCCTCCTCTACTAAGCCCCGTTTTGTTCGGATCTCTGTCTTTACGAAAAACATCATAGAATTTTGGATCAAAAAACTCGGCGTCAAAAAATTGAGCATTAAGCCAAGTTTCAGTAATTACGAATATGTATATCATACTCACAAAGCGAGCTACATATATGTACGTACATCTTCTGCCTTGGTTCTAAGACCTGAAGCATTTTGAAAATATATTTTTATGATCTTATTGGCCGACGAATTATTAGATGGTATTTCTAAGTTTCTTGTATTTGGTGTACATCTTTTTGAAAAAAAAAAAAAACGGAACGGGCGAACAGTCAGGATTAAGCAATTTATCGTATGCGGTTAGGGGAATACCTAGCTTAAAAATTATACTATTCAAAGTTGAGACAGGTGTATCCTTCTTTACTAGCTTATAGCATAATAGCGAATTTTTATTCACACCAGCATGCCTCACTACAAAATCCCGGATGTTATCTTCCGTTACGGAGGTCGAAAATGAGGACAGGTGCAACCATTTACGTTGTAACGCAGCATCATGAGCTACAACACCAACTCCGAATTCGCACTTGCATAGGTGCCCATGACGAGATTTTGATGTTTTTTTTTTGTACACACAAATGTATATGAATTTGTCCATAAAGATGTAAATAAAGTTCCTTAACAATATATGTACATACATTTATCTACGCATGTAGACATACAACCATCCGTGCTTATGCATATATGGGTGATTCTCTCTATGGATAATAGATGGATCGGGAGCCGAAAATGTCCAACTAATTTTTGCAGGGATGTGTAGAAGGCACAATTCTCTACAATGTGTGGTCAGAAAAATAAAAAAATTAACCGCGTAATGAGATGAGAATGAGTACTACCATCTTTATAGATATTGTGAAAATTTTCAACATTTTATCAGCGATAATGAGCGATAATGGATAGGTAGGACAAGAATACGACAGTTTGTGGAGGATCACCCATATCTCGATATATGTAGGTAGAATTGAAAAACATTAACAAAAAAAAACACAGCAACAAAACTTACATCACAGTATTCTTGATTATTTGCTTCTCTCTGCTTCGTGTTGTTGTTATTCTAAAATGTGAAACGCTTTTTTCTTGGGTTTTCTCATTTGAATATTGTGTTTTGCGTTGGTTGGAGATTTGGTTAAAGTTATCAGCTTCCTTGAAATTATTCTGAATTGAAATTATTGAACGGTTTTTTGTTTTTACGTTTGGTATTTCTGTTGTTGCATTTCAATGTTAAAGCGTAGGTCTTCTTACGGTTGTTTACTTGCTGAATTGTTGTTGGTTCAAATGATATTCCATTTGTTTAAGCGTTTGTTGTTGTTTTATGCATATTTCGTTTTTTGTTTGTTTTTTTACAATTTTTAATTAATTTCAATCAGTTTAATTCGAATATATTATGCTTCTCTTGTTTGCATATCTGGACTAGGAAACATACCTGCAAACAGAGCAAAAAAAGAAATACACTGAAATCAGATTGCGTAAATTGTATTTCAAATGTGCATTTCTTTATTATACAACAACAGTTAAAAGCTCTGTTATGCGGTAATTGATGTGATACAAATTACAAAATACCTTTAAGTTTCCACTGAGGGAACTACGATATCTCTTATACGAGTACAAGATTTTTGTTTCATCGAAAAGTAAATTTTGAATACATAAAACACCTATCCTTGATGTTAGATAATATCAATTTCATAGTGTATCACAAAGTGTTATAAAAGAAACTTAAATTTTTATGATCGTGCCTATCAATATGGACGTTCAACTAATACTAATATTGTGCCGGACTTCCACTGAAAGTCTACCTATTCCAAAAAAAATTAATTCACCGAGCCCAACTAAAAGTGGTTGAATGTAATTGAGCCTTAAGGCTGGTTTTCACTATGTAAAATTCAATGGCATTTGTCGTCAAATAAGTGAAAACACATTGTCAAATGGCATCAGAAAGCGGTTTATCGATTGATTTGGAACAGTATAGGTCTTTAGTCGTGTACATGCGCTGCGAAATCGGCCGAATGCCAGTTGTTTGCCCATAATATCATCGGTAAAGGTATGGATAAAGGAGACAAAGTTGTGTCAAATTATGTGGCAAAAATTTGGCGTCAAAATATGACATAGTGAAAACAAGTCCTTGGACGTAAGATTCAACCTTAGCCACGACCGAGGAATGAAATGCTTTGAAACCACCAATGAAACCATTTAAAACCCTTTTCGTAGGCGAAATGTATTTTGTAGGCTTGCAATTTGTTTAGCGTACATGCAAATGTAAAGAAAAATATGACTCGTAAGATTTAATAGTTCCTGAACGAAGGCATATAAAAAAATATTTCGTAAAACTGATCAAACAAAAATAACGGTTAAAATAGTTTTAGGAATTTCACAGGGCATCTATCCACTTAAAAACATTTTGGTGCAGTTACAAATTCTCTAAAAACGAAAATTTTTTGAAAAATTTTACGACTTTAAGACTTTAGGACGCTTTGGGATTCCCCTAATTACCTACATATGTATGTACTAAGGCATCCAATCCCGGACCATTTTTTAATGCAGGGATTTCGTGATCTTAAATTGGTAATCCCGGGACCCGGGATATTTCGGGATATTATTATCATTAATTAAAATATGCTAACAAACTAGTTTTGTAGTTTTTCTTCAGTGAGAATACTAGAAATAGAAATAAATTTGTGTTTTTAAGCAAAGAAATATAACTGTCTTTATTTTATATTTATATAAGTTTAAAAAGCTAATTGCAAACTGAATAAACTTAAAACTATGGAATTGAAATTCATTCATATTGCAGTCGCAGTCATTTTTACAAAAAGTAAAAAATGAAGAGATCATCTTTACTGTTACATATAGTATTTATACATATACACATATGTGTAGTAATATTAGTATGCCACAACATATGTATATATACTTCGGTATATATACAAGCTAACACATATTCGAGGATTTTTTTTTCTTTTTTCTTCGGAGAAATGATCTGTCAAAGTTCGAATTTTTTCGTGATTCTGACCATTCATGTACTTCAAATCGTTATATCTCGGGCATGATTTGCATAGTAAAGGTCAGTAAATTTGGGATTTAAAATTACACCATCGTAATCCTTGTTTAATTCTCTATGAAAAACATGTTCCAAAAAAGTTGGAGTTTTTCAAGAACTGTTTTTAAAATATTTTTTTTATGACGAGGTGGTTTGTTTTGTGAGAGCCAACAATGAAGTCTCTACGATGAGCAGAACCCGAGATATAACAATTTGAAGGAGTACATGATTATGTAGTTAGATTCACGAATTCACAGATGTGAAGCCAATCGAAATTGTGACACCAATTTTGTTGTCCAATATGAAAAAGAATGCCTCATGTATATGTTATATATTTATATTATAACCTAATAATAGTCCCGAGGGCTTGATCCCGGGATTTCGGAAGTCGGGGCCCGGTACTAGATGCCTTAGTATGTACTATGTGTGGCGCACAGCCGATGCGCAGTGCTTCAAAATTGTAGGTCCCCCCGCTTTGTGTGACAACATCAAGGCGCACGCCACAAGTCGGAGGAGAATATCAACTCAAGTCTATTACTATTATTATTTTTCATTTTCAATCTCATGAATTGCTTATAATGACTTTTGTTCAAATTTTAATATCTAAAGTTATCTAAACAAATTCTATGGGGCATCGAAATTTTATACCATGTCCCCATCGGAGCTAACCACGTAGTTATGGCTGTTGAGTTGGTTATCCCGATAACCCACTTCATTTAGCGTAGTTTCGCCATATAAAAATGACAGTACTTAACCATTTCACTGAGATGGTTAAAAGCTAACCAACTCGAAACCAAGTCGAAAGTCTGATACAACCCTGTGTTTTCCCGCCATCTGTGGGTCATTAGCGTTAAAATGTAAAAATTTCGTTCCTTACTAGTGTTTGGACTTCGCTAAGATCAGATTAGATTTACTCCGGTTTTTGAAAAAAATTGAAATCTACTCCTCTACTCCGCTTGACTTCAAATCTATTCCGTTTTTTTTTCCATTCATGTTATGCCCCTCTTGGGGCCGTTTTTTGACTGTTCACCACCGGTTTCAGTAAAAAAAAGTTGAAAGTTAGCCAAATATCACTATTAAAAAGTAACTATTTCATAGCAATACGTTAATAAAGTAACTTCTTTATAATATATGTAAAATAAAATTTATATAAAGTAGAAAAGGTTTAGATGCTATTGCTCTTTAAAAAATTAAGTGTTAGAAACGTTCTACTTTATAGAAAATGCTAAATATTACCTAAATATGTAACATATTATCCTTACATTGTCTCGCGTTCTTATTTTTGCATGAATAGAAAATATTTAAGTCAAACAATTAATGTCAGAAACGAAAATAAAAAATTCAATCTAGTACGGAAAATTTGTTTTTGCTCAGATTTTTAGTCCTGAATCGAGTTTTGTAGGTCCGAACACTGTTCTCTACATTTGTACTGCTTTATAAACCAATACAACCAATAGTTAGTGATGTGGTTAAGTTCGATTTGAGATGGTTAACTTTTTGGTGGGGACATGTTATTATTTTCTACTTTTTAGTCCATTTACAGAAGCGTAGTATATAAACAAGTTTTTTTTATTTTATTTTATTTAAAATTTTTTTTGGAGAAAAATATGAATATGGCAACGCAGGATTTTCACAATGAAGAAATGAAACGTCAAAATTACTTATCCGCCTGCAGTAATATATGCAGATTTTTTCTTGATTTTTTTCTTGTGAGCTGGATACTAGCTTTAATTTTTCATGTTTATTTGCCAAGAGTTTTCCAATGACGAATAGTTCATTATACTAAAGCCAACGTTTCAACTTAAGCTACTTTGTTTTGTTGGCACAGATTTGATTTCGACACAATAATGTTCAAAATACGTGCAGTGATGATTAACATAATTTTCATACCAACACACTATGTGCTTATAAAAGTTCAGTTTATGTAGAAATACATATGTATGTATATGTATGTGCAAGATGTAATTTCGCTTGATAAGAATTCGATTATGAAAACATACTTACATATCCACTTTTTGCCATCTCAATAATCCAGGACTTGAGATAGACAATTTGCAGTGAGAATGAAGTTAAGTATTTTTTTGCAGAAAAGTTGAGTACGTACCTGAAATGGAAGAAATAAACTGATGTTAAAACAAGTAATTTTTAGCAAAAAAAAAACCGACTTCAACTATCATATAAAAAAAAAAATATATATATATATATCTCATGATCCACTAATCGGATCTTAACCAGTTCCTGTGCATTTTTATTTGATCAATACTTCTTCCTTATTTATATATCTTTTCTAAAGGAACAGGCTTTAACACAAGTGCATTTACACAGAAACTGTTGTATTTTTAATTTTTTCCTTGTTAAAGTTTGAATTTTTTCTGGAATCTGGAATGATTAATTAATTCCTCAGATACTATCATGGCTATCGAAAAGTCATGTATGTATATAGGGTTTATGGAGAATTTTATTTTCTTACATTTTCTGTATCTCTTATTACGATTATTTAATTGGTTCGTAAGATATAGGTGATTAAGTGGAACCAATCTTTTTTTTAAGCTTAATAACGGTAAATTGCAAATATATCGAAAACGTATCCATAAAGAAAAAAACTAACTTGATTTTTGAAATCAGCGAGCGATTCTACATACAAATTGGATAGTGGCGTCTGGAGAACAAAAACAAAATTAAAATTTGTGGTCCAGTGTAATTGTTCGATAATAAAAATATGTCGAGCTTATCACATCTGGAATTTTATCGCGCTGCATATCGAATTTTAGATTATAATAGCAATGGAAATGTGATTTGCGATACCATCATATGTATACTTGTGTTCAGCTGATTAAGTCAAGAGACATTTTGACTAGTTTTGGCTATTTTTCTTTTGTTTATTTAACGTTCGTATTTTTTTTTTTAAGTTTAGCACTTTACCTAACCTGCGCCACATGAATCCACATTTCAGACTTCGTACAAAAATTATGAAAATTCAACAAACTTGAACATTTGCACCCAAAAATTTTAAACTTTTTATTCAGAATTTTTAGAAACATTTTGGCGATGCAGTTTTCTAGCATTTTAAATTTTAGTAGTAGTAAAGCACGAATTTCAAGACGCTAAAAAATCGCATTGATTTTTATTACCTCCCTTTTATTAGCTCGGGATGTAACTATGTAATATTGATGCGCCTAAAAGATGCAGCGAATTCTATTCTCAAGTTACATACCTGATGACAGTACGATGTTATGTAATGAATTTGTCGAGCACATTTTACATGGAAGAAAATGCACAACACCGTCAGCCAAAAAAAAATGTTAAAAACCAAGGCGATTTTCTAGCGTCTACAAAACTGCATACTCAACATTTTTCTAACAATTCCGAATAAAAAGTTTACATTTTCGGGTGTAAATGTTTAAAGTTTGTCAATTTTCATAATGTACGAAGTTTGACATGTGGATTTATTTGGCGCTGGTTAGGTAGAGTGCTAGACTAGAAAAATAGTAAAAATTAGCCAAAATATCACTCGACTTAATCAGCTGACCACAAGGGTGCATGCATAAACACATAAACATAAGTTCATATGTATATACATATACACATATGTACTTTCCCAGTGGGAAAATGTAAGTCATGGTAATCGAAAAAAATAATCAGTAAAACAGCAATTTTCATATCCGAAAATGGGTATTTCCATGAGTCACATACGTGGCAGTAGTACGTTTCAAAGAGATACAAACAAGGAAAACATTTGTTTTCTTTCTATTTTGTTTTTACCTCTATATCTAACTGAAAAATAAAAACAATCGAACAGCATGGTTCTTAAATATTCGCAATTAAGGAGAGAGACGTTACGTGCCAAAAATGGAAGTTGATTTTTTCTTTTCTTATAAAATCGCAAAACGCTGCGAATTGTGGATGGCTCTTTTCATGAAACTTATTTTAATATGATTTGGAGTAATTCTAGTTGTTTCTAGAGTTTTTTGAATTAGGCAACTTGATACATTTTTTTTTTAATGTGAAATGTTACATGACGTGACATAAATTTCCATCATTAAAGTAATGTTAATATTGCTTTTAAATGAATTTTTAACGCAAAAAAACATGCATTTTATGTCGACTATACTTTATAGTTTGATTCAGGGTAAATTTTTTGGAAATCTATGATTTATTATGCTTCAACTACATATGCCAAATTCGAACCAAATGGTACCCTAAATTCGGTTTTTCGAAATACGTATGTATCTCGATCCTGGCGCCGTCCAGCAATACCATTTTACGCAAACATTTTTCTGCTTACATAACCAGTATATGTATATGTATTTAAAAAAGCAAAAAATTTTGCTCATAAATACATTAGATATATGACTATAACGTTTTTTCGCGGTAGACCTTCCGATGGAAACACCCACCCGGCGAAAAGTATGGCATTAAATTTTTCATGATGTATGTACATAGTAATCGGGGAATGTATGCGCCTTAATATGAATTTTTTAGGACTTTTTGGATACATTAGATTGTTGATTACATATTTCTCAGAACTGGAATCTAAAACTTACAAGAAACACACATTTCCTTGTTTATTACGCATTAACGCAATACTACTTTTCCCACTGGGCTGGTATGTATATTCATGTGCATATGTACATATATTGTACATATGTATGTATGTACATTAATAAGTATTTACTTCTAGCGTACATTATGCATATCTACAAATTTTCACAAAAAAGTCCCGACGTTGCTAATTGCAAAAAATTATTATGGCTATGGAAAAATACACATCACGAATGATCTACATACATACTCTTATATACTAGAATGTTTGCACAAACATAACTGAGTATGTGTATAGAATATAACGTTTCGCTACATTGTATTAACGGCTAGACGATTACGTACAAATTCATAGGTATACATACATACGTACGCGCATATGTAGTATATAGACTTAAGACAGATTTTACCACATAATCACATCAGAACAGCAGCAGCAACAGCAACAGCATCAACGTCAATCTCATCAGAATCGACTACGGCGAAGACGAGACGCTAAGCAGAAATCACACAAAGAAATGAAAATCTATTGACTGGAATGGCTGTTGTTGCAAATTGTTATCATAGCTGTTTTTTTGTGTTCGCCTTCCTCCACATTGCTTCCGCCGGCACTGATGCTATTCACGCCATAATGGTACGTCCCCCCTCCGCTTGCAACCCTCCACATTTTACTATTGAGAGGAGTTCGTCCGTTTTCTGTGCTTCGTCTTTCCGCTTATATTACCAACAGTTCAATGAACTTAATTTCATATTTTTCGCGCGCGCGCGCTTCTTTCTTAATCGCAACTCTCCCATTTCTTTTTTCATGCTGACGCACATTGATATGTACATACATATGTATGTACGTATATGTATTTCAAAGCACATAGATAAATAAATAATGCGTACATATGTACGCATGTGTATTGTCAACATTATCTACAGCTGTTTTTTCCATTCTGCCACTCCAACGGTTCTGGATGACATTTATGAGGCCATATAAAGTTCGCCTCCGACGATCCACTTCCACATCCAAAGGCACACATACATTCATATGTATGTATGAGCATGTACATATTCTTCTTCTTCTTGTTTGGCGCTGTACCGCGTAAACGATTTTGGCCGAGTCCAACAAAGCATGCTTATCATTTTTCTTCCATGCCCACTGGCGCCAATTGAAAATACCAAAGAAAGCCACATCCTTCTCCACCTGGTCTTTGCAGCGCAGAGGAGGCCTTCCTCTTCCTCCGTTATCAGTATGTTGTAAAGCTCATCGTTATATCTACGTCTACGGTATTCGCCATCGCAAACGCGCAAAGGCCCGAAAATCTTTCATTTTCATTTCATTTCATTTATTAAACAAATTCATTAGTACAATAAGATCTTAAAGCTCTTTTATAGTACAACAGTAATTATAAAGCATAAACATAAAGCAACAAAAGGAAAACAATAAGTAAAAAAAAAAAAAAAAAGAAAAAGAAAAAGAAAAATGCAACTAGTTCTAAGACTAAAAACTAACATTATTACTTAAGTAAAAACACAACGACACAAACGTAAACATGTGTAGATAAATCGCAGAATCTTTCTCTCTAAAACCTCAATAGCCGCCTCATCAGATGTTTTCATTGTCGAGCGTGACAAGTTTTCCATGTATTTTATATGGAGAAAAAACAGGGTTTCGTGGAAATGGTATAGAATTCTTGAAAATCAATACTTTTTTTATCGGAACACTTTTTTCTCTCCAGAAGACTGCCGACAATAATACCCAATTGTTTATTTTGACATTTTTTATTACTAGCGATTTTTAATGTTTTCCCCGTTGCATGTTTTAAGGTTTTTAGGGGTCCTATACAAAATAGTTAGTAATTGAAAATGGTTAAGTAAAGAATTGGATATTATTATTGAAAGTCTTCTGAAGTTTTCCGGTCGAAAAATTGAGATTTTCAAGAACACTATACCATTTCTACGAAAACTTTTTTACAATATAAAATCTATGGACAACTTTGAGCGCTTTGAGCGGCTATAAATGTTTTTTGATTTCAAAATGAAAAAAACAGGGGTATAATTTTTTTTAGTATAGCACAATCCTGGAGGGTGAGATCATTAAAATTCCGGCTTTACCTTTTTTGCACCACTCTACTGTATATGCGTGCATACATCGAGCCCTAAATTTTTAAAAATCTTTTTGATGCAGAAATACTTCTAGAGCGTCTAATTAATTGCACTTCTGCATCAAAAAGAAAGTTTTAAACTTTTTTGGCCGTTAGGTATCGATATATATATTTGTTTGGTTAAATTTTGTTTTGAACTTATTTAACATCAATCGCACAAAAATTCCACAAGTAAAAAAGTTAACAAAGCAGTAAAGAAATTTTAGAAATTTACCGCTTATGTAAATGGAGTGATTAGGGAAATGAAAAGAAGATATCGACGCAAATGCATGTGGCATGGAGATTTTTTAGGCGTTAGTTAATATCGTTTTGTTGGAAGTTGAATAAAGTTCGAACATAAAAAACCGAAATATGAAATCGACATCGAAGTGGAGAAATTTCAAATAGATAAATAAATAATAGGGAAACAAAA